CGGGGTATAATTTCGCATATAAATACATACAAATAATTTTTAATTGGGGCCGAAGACTAAAGAAAACAATAATTTAAGAAAAAATGTTTAATAAAATCTTAGATAATACATATCTATAACAAATTAGGCCTATATTATTTTACAATTTTTCACATTTACTTGATTATCACACCATAATTTTAACATTGTTTCCATCTCAGTGATAATACCGTGACGTTTACGAATGATGCTTGAATTTAAAGATTGAGCATTTTTCGCAGCTTCGAGAATTTTTTCTTTGCCTTTTATAATTGTTCTGACTATCAATTCCTTTAGATCACACTTCTTTGCCAATTCACAAATTTTCATTTTTGTATTGAAGTCTTTAATAATGGGTAAGTTCGTAAAGTCAAACGAGTTAAACGTGTTAGTAACGAATCATTTGAAAAGTCTAACGAAATAGGAATAACGATGACGTCATTCTTGTTTAACTCGTTCGACTTTATGAATGTACCCAATGTTAACTTTACAGTTAGTGAGTGTACCTCAATTTTTGGTTAACTTTACATTCCAAAGATAAAGTTTTTCTTTTCTTGTTTGATGCAGAAGAATTAGTTCTACTTTATTTGGATGACATAGTAGAGTCTCTCAAGTCTCTGTAGATACAACAAACACAGAAATAAATAACACAAAATAAATTGTAGCTATGTGTCGATTCCGTGTGACACATCCGAACATGTAAGCTGAACAATAGTGTGGTGGGAGTGAGTAATCAAGGGTTGCATGACGCTCAAACAAAAGACGAATTGACGAGATTTGAAAATTGTGTAACTCCGGGTTCGCGTAAGTCGGGGTAGTATAAATCGAGGTATTACTGTATACATATATTTAAAATTTTGTCATTAAATTATTTTATTTAAACATTATTACAGTATGAACAATTTCATTTATAAATAATAAATTATTATTGATTATCCACAGGTATGAGATGAGCAAGTATATTTCCGTCATCATTATTACAACTGGAATTTCACTCTTCACTATAGCATCTAGTAGAAATGTTAGTATTAAATGGATTAATAAAATTTTTAGAATAATTCACATTAAAAAAAATAAAGATTTAAATTCAAATTTTTCCATTGAATATTACTTGTTTATATACAGGGTGCAGCAGATTAACCTGATGGTTTTTAAATTCGAATAACATGCAAGTTATGCAATTATGCTAAATTAATTTAACATCAACTCACATTTAACCTCAAAGCATTCAACATAGGATTTATAAATAATCATGTTTTGAATATTGTGGCCATCTGTTGTCTACACATTCTTACAATCATTTCCCTAAAACTGTGCATGACTTTTTTGTAACATTTCAGAGGAATTGCTGTTGCTTCATCTCTGATGTTTCATTTCAACTCTGCCACAACATTGTCTTGTCCTGTTGAAACTACAGATTCTAGTATTCAACATCACACTGACAAAAGTTCAGTTCAACTAAGTTGTGAAGCCTTTGAATGTAGCAAGCTGAATTTATTGTCACAGCCCCTCTTTCTTTTTGAAGAAATACAGACCAAACATTCTAAGTTGCTACATCACAACAATTAATGTTTTTGACACTGTATAAAGGTTGCTACCATAACTCATGAGGGTTCTTATAAAACAAAATGTATTTTTTATTATTTTATGCTAATTTCAATTGTTATTAAATGGCTTTGAGTTAAAAAATATATATACTCAACCCTGCTATGGTTTCAGTTACAGCTGTATTTAAAAACCAGGTTAATCTGCTACAATTCTGTAATATATATAGTAGAGCATCGATTATCCGAATCAATTGGGGACTCGGGTTGTTCAGAAAATCGATTTTTTCGGATAACCGATTATGTACGAAAAAATATATTAACCTATCCCATGTTGAAATTTGTTCAAATCATGGCACGTCCTTAGTTTCATGGACGTGACATTGCTGCCAGCTAAAACTCACACACCAACAAAAATAATATTGGAGTAGCCCAAGACATAGCTAAAGATTGCAGTGCCACAGCACTAGCGGAAATTTAAATTTGCTGACTGGAAAGCTTTCTTTTGATTGACATTTAGATAATCGATGCTCTACTGTTGTTTTATTTTCATACATCAAATGAAGTTTTTCAGAGCATTTGACTCTGACTTGTAATTATTCTAAGAAAAATACATTATCTTTTGGCATTACAGAATTTAATAAATTAATGATAATATAAGTACTTTTGATAACATATTGTTATTTTCGTCAGGCTTACAAAGATTTTAAATTTAGAACACATTTTTAAATACATTTGAATTTTATGATTTTAATGGTAATCTAATCTTTAATATTTACATATTATACTAAACCAGAAGTACATATGCAAAATCTACTAAAAATTAAAACGGCAATGATTTAACACTTAATGTTAAATTAAAATATTAATTCTGCTATCCATAACAAGTTTTCATAATGACCAAAATCAAGTAAGGAAATCATACAATAGTTGGTTTTATAAGTTCAGAGATGTCAGATCAGAGAGTTTTATAAGTTCAGAGTGTATGTGGGCTGGCTAAAGTATAGGCAAAGAAAAAAGTCTGCTACTGATCCAAAAAAACACAGCAGCTAGGCCCAAGGCTGGTGCGCCAAAAATTGCTGCATGAGACAACCCAAGTTTGTGCTGCTCTTTTTTGCAGTTTCTGGTAAGGTAAGGGCAAAGGAAAGGCAATAACATTTTTTATAGATATGTGACAATAGGATTAAATAAAGCTTTTTATATTTTATGTGCAATTATTTATTACACAGAGAAAATGAAAACTATTTTCATATAAATACAAATATGTAATAAATGCAGTTTTAAAGAATACAGTGGTGCCTTGTATAACGTACTTAATCCGTTCCAGGTGCACGTCCGTTAAGTGAAAAGTCCGTTATATGAAACATATTTTCCCATAGAAATACATGTTAAAATATATAATTCGTTCCGCAGCATAAAATAACCATACTGTACCATTAAAAAAATGAAAATGGAGCAGTCACCAATTATGCTGGGTAGTCAGATGTTGTGAGGAGGAGGTGGAGGAACACATTCTTTCTTTCTTCACACATTCATACAGATACGCACTTTTTACACATTGCAGCAGGTCTCTTTTTATTGTTTTTTTAATCTGAGTCAGATTCAGGAGAGGCTTCCGGAGCTTGCAGGGTCAACTCCTCTTGTTCCATCCTTTGTTTTTTGCCTGCTGGCTTCTTGAAAAACATGTCCAAGGTGGTCTGTTTCTCTCTCTTCTTCAACACCTGTCGGAAATGATGGGCAAGGGTGTCATTGTAGAGATCATTGATCCTGGTGGCCTAGCTCTGTTTGGATAATGAGCATTGGTAAACTCCTGAACCTCTCCCATTTGACAAGGAAGTTGTTGTCAACTTTCACTCCTTCTGATGATTTCTTGCATTGTTTCAATTGAAATCATCTTTCTATTTTTTTAGAAGCCATGATTTTCACAACACTTGAATAAATGTAAATACCCTGCACTGAGGTGATGTACATAATAAACAAGGGAGCAAGCTGAATCCCAACGGGAGCTCTGTACTTCAGATATACTAATAATATATTCTAATAACACTAATATATTATAAAAATAGCAGATTGTCATTGGCAACGGCAAAATGTGAAGTGAGTGAAAATATCATTCGCACTTGTTCGCAGAAAGTCCACTGTTTGCCTCACGTAACTGCTGAACGGAAAGTCCGTTGTTCACAGCCAGTCCATTGCTTGAGTCACGTAACAGCCAACACAGAAAGTCCGTTGTTTGCAGCGTCCGTTATTCGAGGCGTACGTTATACAAGGCACCACTGTATATTAAAAAGTGAAACATTATGTATATTGATTTCTAATGCAGTCGAAATTTATATTTATTGAAGTTCTGTTCATTCAATAATATAGCTAGTTATGTCAAACTTTTGTGTGCTATTGTTGAACGTAAATAATTTTTAATCTAATTTTGAGAATGATTGTTTCCCACTAACAATGGACACAGGAAGGATTAAAAGAATTCTCAATAATATAAAAACATTTAGAAATTTTCAATTAAATTATTTTTGTCAATATAATTTAAAACTATTAATTGATGATATTTTCTTTTTTAATTAAAATATTTCTAACAATTAAAAGTTGATGAATAAATTGAATGACTCCATATCAGAGTTGCTATCAATTTTCAATTCTGTATGTACGTACTGACAATTTTTCTAAAAATAACTTCAGAATCATTATTGGCTAACAGTGGAATATCATGTAAAATCTCAAGTAATATATCATAATTTTGATTCAAGTGATCTGTTAAAAGGAGATTCTACTGCAAAATTAAATTAATATTTATTAATTAATTTAGAACAGCGATTCCCAACCCATGGTATGTAATAGGTTGTTTAGGGGGTACAGAAAAAGTTAGTTATTATGGCAGAAAAAATAATATGTTACGTATCACAAATTAATAGTATTAAAAAATTATTAGGAAAAAGTGTTCTTTGCAACAATCACAAACTTTATTATACATTTCAAAATGCAAAAATAGAAATAAAAACTTATGCTGTCGATTGTACAGTGCAGCAGATAAATAAATGTTGCGCAGTCGGTCAATGGTAGTGGGGATACCATTATGTGTGATTAGTGATTATGCTACAGACTTTTGACGGTGGGGTGTGTTACCATTATTATTATTATCTCTCAACAATATCCCCACGTGTTGTTTGAAAAAAGTATTTTTTTGTTTATAAAAAGTATTTTTTATTGTTAACAAGGAAAAAGACCTAGCTAGTTTCTCCAGATTTTCTCTATAAGCTGTAATTTTTTAAATTTTTTATTCAGTATTTTTATTAATTTTTTATTGACAAGACTATGTCTTGTTTATAAAATCGTACTGTCTGCTATGTTACCAGCTTAGAGTACTGTACATGTCAAAAGTTGCAATTTGGCACAAAGTATTAGGTGCCCAAATCATGCACGTATAAAAAAACCAGACTTGTAGGTACTCGGGACCAAGAACTGAGTCAAAATAAAATTTAAAATGGTGACACTCTCTACAAACAGGAGGATTTGCACATGCGTTGCTCGTTGGGAAGTTGGAAATTCCATTGGGGTACGCTAATGAAAAATGGTTGGGAACCACTGATTTAGAAGATTCTGGAAGAAAAGCAGAAAAACTGGTCATGACTAATCATGGTTATATCTAAATCAATAGTTCTGGAAGTGAAGATTGGATGGAAGTCTGGATAGTGTAACTGGTAACATATCTGCATGGTGTGTGACAGTTGTGAGTTTGAGTCCCACTCTGGGCCAATTCTGTTCTTATAGAACCTTCTAAATTAATTAATAAATATTAATTTAATTACAATTATTAAATTTAATAAGAAATGGCACCTAACACCTACCTCTAGGCAAAATTACTTAGCATTTTAATAGTAATAGCAGTAATATAGTCAGATTTAATCCATAATCATTTAGCATTTTATAAATAAACACCATTGGTTGGCTTGTGACATTTTATATTGCATTATTGCAATATAAAAGAGCAGTTATTTTTTGTGACATCGTCACAATGCTGGGCTGCAATTTTTAATTAATATAATTTAAAATATATGTTCTCCATCTCAAATTACTAGTGTTTTGTCCCTATATATCATGGGTTGCCAAAGTGGTCGATATCGACTCCCAGGGGTTGATGTAACATTATTGGGGGTTGATGCGGCTAGGGGGTCGATTGGGAAGTAGATGGAAAAATTGAAACTAAAAATCACAAATTTAACTATACATATTATTGTTTCAATGAATTTAATAGTACAGCTATCTGTCAACATGTAAAATGGCTATGGATCAAGTCGCACAGGACGGACAGAAATTGCTGAGTCTGTGCTCCGGTTCTTACTTACGTAGCACGTCAAGCATAGGAGAGGTTACAAAGAAGTACTTTGTAACCTCTCCTATCTTATCTATGTTCTCTGCACATCTCATCAAAATTATATCACATCCTAAAGCACATGTTATACTATCCTCATGTGTATATGTGTGGAGCCAAAAGAACTATTAGCTCCTTTTTCCCCCCTTTCTTTTAAACTATGTGTATAACTTACGAGTCATGTTGGTTCAACTGTCACTATCTCAGGACTGAAGAGGGGCATTAAGCCCGAAATGTATTGGCAAGCGCCAAATCCGACAGAGGGCACTGTTTTTGAGCCAAGATGGCTGCCGAAACAGCTAATGAGCCAACCACGTGTTTGTTCAGTGCCTGAGCCGATTCAGTTTCTATCGGTGGCGACTACTGCGAGGACCAAATGAAGAACAAATCATTGAATTTATGTCAAATTCTAGACTATATCGGCAACAGGAAACGTTGTCTTGTAGAATGTGAAGCCGTTTTGGATATACGTGACGTACACACACACATTATGTTGTGTATGTGCTGCACAACCAAACTTTTGACTGGCCTATGTTGTTTAAGTGCTGAATGACTCAGCAGGGCAGCCTTCAGATTGGAACTAATTTTAACTATTATGATAAATAAAACTTTGTTTTTATATTGGAGCATGGTGTATACTGCTTAAAATATTTAAATACTTCTCACCTGTTAACGTATAATAAACATGCTATCACACGTTTACAAAAACCAGACAGCTCCGCTTTGCACGTGCATTCTCCCTGTAATTGAGATGTATTAAAATGCCAATATCTGAGATTGCAACATTAAAGCAACAACATGAACTTCGGTGTTGTTGTTAGAGTTTAGTCCACAAAATATGATGTGTCCGCATCCAAAAACGGCTTCACCTTCTACAAGACAACGTTTCCTGTCGCCGATATAGTCTAGAATTTGACATAAATTCAATGATTTGTTCTTCATTTGGTCCTCGCAGTAGTCGTCACTGATAGAAACTGAATCGGCTCAAACACTGAACAAACACGTGATCGGCTCCTTACCTGTTTCGGCAGCCATCTTGGCTCAAAAACAGCGCCCTCTGTCGAATTTAGCACTTGCCAATATCTGTCCACACCAATAAAACAACCTTTTTCCTCTGAAAGTATTCCTGTGTGATATGTTCTCAACAGCAACATTGTGCTAAGAAAATACATATAATAGAGAACAACAAGCAATTAAGATTTAAAAATATATATACATACTGTAGTATGGAAAGGTAAGATTTGGAGTAATATACAATATTTTTGAAAAGTTTTGATTGCCTTTGATCAGTTGGGATAAGGGAGGATTTGGGTATGAGAGGGCTGAATGTGGGAGAGTACTGTAGTGTGTAAACCTACATATTTTAAATACCATATATAATTAGAAAAGAATAATAAAAAAATAATTATAAAACATAAATTAAAATTTCTTGTCTTCATTATTTTATTGTTATGTAGAGAAAAGTACATTCAAATTCCGAAACAGAAATTTGGCATTGGTTTTTAGGTAAGAAATACAAAAAAATATGTTATTTAAAAATATTAGTTCATAATTTCTTACTTTATTAAACTACTATTCTTCATTTTTTAATTTGTAACCATTGATATATCACATACTTTTTAAGTCTATATAATGTATTTTTTGTCATAGAGGTATTTGCTTAAGTTACAAAGTTACAGTATTTTAAACAAAGTAAGAGTTGAACTTAAGTATGGAATTATGAAAAATATTAAACAAAAGTATGGGATATTTTTATGATTATTATAATAAAAATTATTATATTAAAAAATATTGGATTTTAACATGCTAAAATGAATAATAATCTTGTAAATAAATTTTATGACATCATTATAGTGAAGTATAAAATTGAAGTGAACATGATAATGAGATTAATGATGGCACCCAGTAGTAAATTAAGTGAAAATAATAACAGTTAATAATTTTTTTAATTTTGAAAATAAAAACAGTTAATAATTTTGAAGTATCAAGAAGGCAAATTACGAAAGTTAATAGCAAAAACATTAGAAATGCTCTCAAGTAATAGTTTTGAAAATAATTTCAAACTTTAAAACATTTGGAACTGTGAAAAATCAGCAGCAGGTTGGAAGATCAAGATCTACAACCAAGAGAAATGACCATAAGTTAATTAAAATTGTAAAGGAAAACAGATTTTTGTCATCAACCATTATTAATTCAAAATGGGGTCAAGACAGTTGTTAATGTATCAGACATTACAGTAAGGAGGAAGCTAGCAGAATGAGCAATTATTTATTGTGACATAGTCACAATGCTGGGCTGTAATTTTTAATTAATTTAAAATATATGCTCTCCACCTGAAATTAGTACTGTAGTGTCTTTCCTCTATATGTCATACTTTTCCATTAGCAATGGAGTCATGCCAGTCATCCATCTAACTCCTTTCAGGGGAAACATTTTGAATTGAAATAACATGACTTCCAGTTTGCAATGAAAGTTCATATACAGTTAATCAGGGCCTCATACCCCTAAGCTTTCCATATCTGGCCCTGACTTTGATGTATCTAACTTCATTCTCGAGATTAAGGAAGGACAGACAAACAGACAGATGGTTGGATGGATGATAAATAAGAATTTATGTCTACAATTTTTCAAATTGCAGTCCAAAAAGGTTACCACTCAAGAAAAGTCAAAACAAAGCCCTATATGCCAAAAAAACAAAGGGAAAATGGTTTGAAAGGGGCCAAAACTCGTAAAGACTGGAGTGTTAATGTTAATGACTGGCAACAAGTTATGTTCAAAAATGAATGAAAAATATTTATTGGTTATGGGATTGATGGTAGCATGTTGGTATACAGAAGATCAGATGAAAAATTCCATCCTGACTGTTTAAATTCATCAGCAAAATTTCCTAAAAGTGTAATGATGTGGGAATGTATTGTAAGAGGTGCAACACAAAAGGAAAGCACATACAGTACATGTGATAACCAATTAAAACAAATTTAATTTCATGATAGAGATAAATATTTACAAGTTCTTTATGGATTCCCGCTGCTTTTACAATTTCAATTATCTTCTGTGTTCGCAATGTAACAGTGATCCAGGTAGTTGGGTCCCGTCATAATTACCAACCTGAGAATAGTACTTATCTAACATGCACGCGAGTCTTAATCGTAATCTAACTTAAATCCAATAGAAGGTGGATAGAAAGAAGGGGAAGTAAGAAGAGTTAATAGGACATGGGTATCCAATTTCTTGGCGAATATTCTAAGTAGTTCCTCGTCTTGACTTCCAAGTCTTGTACGTTCTATTCTCTCATGAATTGGCTTTTTCTGAGGGTTCACCTCCAGGTCTATTGCTCTGATTCTGTTCTCAATCCGTTCTCTAAGGCCCTCTTCCACAGCACTCATCGATTTCCAACTCACGAGCCTTGCTGTCACATGTCTGTCTCCTCTTCTGTCCAGCCAAAGAATCCTTTGAATTTCGATTTTCCCCTCCAGCCTCGTCGCAGACTATTGTTTTCACCCTACTTTCTGGTTGGCTAGGGGTGAGTCAGAGTTCTCAGAAGTTCAAACAAAGAAACAAAGGAAATTGGAAGGAAGGATAAATTTAGAGAAATAGAATATAAAATAAAATTAAAAACTATATAAAATAGAATGGTGTACAGCCACAGTATAATCTGTAAAGGGTTGATAAATTGGCAATCCTTAATAGTACATTGAATGCTGATGGTTACTTGGAGTTAATAGAATCTTTGGTCATTAAAACATCAGATCACTTTGTTGTTGAGGATTTCATCTACCAGGCTGACAATGCATCATGTCATTGGGCTAGACAAATTAAGCAATTGGTTTTAAGAACATAACACAGCATTTAGAATGGCCTGCCAACACTCCAGATATATCTCCCATTGAAAATGTTCGAAATGTTCTGGAGAAAATTATTTCTAAAAAGAGCTACAACAATAGAATAATTAAAAAAGACAGTCAAAGAATCATGGTCCCAAGTTGATATAGAACTGTGTAAAATCTTTATTCTACAATGCCACAAGGAATTCAGGCTGTAATTGGGGCAAAAGGTGTCTGTACAAAATATAAATCATCATTATTCCATACTTTTGTTCAGGGGTAGTATAACAATAACAATGAAAGAACTTAGATGAAATTAATGTACTTGATATAGATATGATACCTGTGTTAAAAGAATTTCATTCTTATTTTTGTTAAATTTATTAAGCCTTAATAATAATAATTTTTTTATTATTAATATGACTTTTTAAAAATTAGAATAATATGTTGTTTAGATAATACATGATGTCTATAACTAAAGAATAACACTTCATATCACTCTGGAAACAATACTCTGGCTGTTAATGTAATAACTTGATTTCAATATGTGATTGAGAGTGACAGAAAACGTATTGAAAAATTTCTTTGATGTCTGCAACAGTGGTGCCATTACACACACGTAGCAGTGAAAATTGTAAGTATTTTTGAAACTGTCCATAGTTTTTCTGTGTTGAGATAAAAATGCCTACAAACTTTTATTGATTTATCTCTAGCAGTTTTGTCTGTAGAATGGTCTAAAGTGGTATACTTTAATTATAGACATCTTGTATTTACATATTATAGTATAACCTCCAAATAACGGACATCATTGGGACTGAAAAGTTTGTTATTTAGAGGTGTCTGCTATTAGGAGGTACTGTACATGCCGGATGCCATACTGTATTTTAACATGGTCATCATATACAATGGATTATGAAGACATCAAATTTGTGTTAAGAATGTGAATACCAGAATGTGTAGCATATATAATTAAAATATAGGCTATATACAGTATATTATTATGCTCATCCAGAAAGTAAGTACCGTTTGGGTATTAAAAAAGATTTGCAATTTGTTTTCATTTGTATTTTATTACTGAAAAATCTACATACCTTAAACTACTTTTCGACATATTCACCATGCAAATTAAGGCATGTGTCATATCTTGGCACTAATTGCAATATATCCGCTTTGTAGAATTTGGCCTCCTACGACCTGAACCAGTTCCGGATGTTTACTTTGATCTCATCATCACTTGCAAAATGGTGGCCGGCAAGAAATTTCTTGAGATGAGAAATGGAAGTCGGTTGGAGCTAGGTCTGGACTATAAAGAGGGTGACAGAATTGTTTCCAGCGAAACGAATCAAGCAGCATCATTGTTACACATGTGGTATGCAGTTGCACATTGTCATGCACAAACATGACTACTGACTTCTGACGTGGACTACTGCCAGAAGTCAGTAGTCCACGTCTTTTGTTCTGTATCACATACTGTAACTTCTTCAATGTCTCACAGTAAGCTGTAGCATTGATTGTTGTGCCTCATTCCATCCAGTCCACTAACAAAATTCCTTGACAGTCCCAAAACACTGTGCACAGTGCACATGATTTTTCTTGAAGAAAGAGGTGGCTTTGTTTTCTTGGATTTCGGGGAACCAGTATGCTGCCATTCCAATGACTGTCGTTTTGTTTCATGTGTCTCGTAACAAATCCATGTTTCATCGCTGTGACAATCCTTTTTAAAAAATCATTTCCTTCTGTCGCATAATGCCACAAAAATTCTGAGGCTGCTCCTATGCATTTCCATTTTTGAACATCTGTTAGTGTTTTTGGTACCCATCACGCGCACAATTTTTTGAAGTGCAAATGTTCAGTCACAATTTTGTGTAATAAAGATCATGAAATGTTTTGAGAAAGCATTGACAAACCACAAATCATGAATCGCCTATTAGAATGAACTTGTTCATCGATGCAGAGCACCAATTCTTCGTGATCAACGACGGGCGTCCACTGCGCTCATTGTTGTGGACATTTTCCCTTCCCTTGTTAAACATCCTAACCCACTTTTGCACCATACCTTTATTCATCGCATTCTCTCCATAAGTTTCACTTATCTGACGATAAATTTCACAAGGTCAAACATTTCTCACATTCAAAAACTTGATAATGGCTCTTATTTCATAGCTGGCATGCTGATCGATTGTTTTAAACATGATTACCAACAAACAATGACTTCAAGCATTAATATAATCAAAACAAAATGGCTACAATAATTCGTTCTGGAGTTGAAGGATGTAATTACGTTTGCACGACCTTTGTGCTGTCAGATGCATGGAAGATATGTGCAAACGAAACTTACTTTCTGGATCAGCTTAGTATTTATCTTTTCAGCTGTAAAAATCTTGTTTTAATTGAATTCTAAATAGAAAACAAATTGAACAGGATACAGTAGAACCTCGAAAACTCGGCCTAATGGGGACCGAAGGGTGGCCGAGTTTGTGAAAATGCCGGGTTATCGGGAATGGGGTTAAAAAAAAATAAGTACGATTGTTTCCTCAGAAAATACTGTACTGTACTTGTATGTATTGTTTACTTGAGAATATAACAGAGAATAAACTGCCCGAATACCCTTAAACGAAGGAAAAGTACGTCTTTTATGAAAGCATAATTTTCATTTTCATGTAGTAAAGGCTCTACCTTTACTACATGAAAATGAAAATTAATGAATACACTGTGTACAGTAATTTACCTGATAAGACAGATCTCAGAAAAATACTTTATGAGAGCTTTTATACTTTTATAAAGCTGTCTATAATGAAAATTAATTAACTAAGGATTTTTTTGCCCTGCTAGGGTGTGGCCGAGTTATCCGGAGTGCCGGGTTATCGAGAGCCGAGTTTTCGAGGTTCTACTGTACTTTGATAAATGGAACATAAAAATTATGACAAAAAGTAAACATTGATTAATTATTAATTCATCAAAAACAACCGGAGAAGTAATGAAAAAGAAAAATGAAATGTTATAACAAACAGAAGGGTGGACAAAGGTCAGTTTAGGTGATGAGAGTTCAAATGTTGAATTACAAAGGCAATTTACTAGCCACTTCAAGGGGCAAGAAATGTATTTGCATTTATAACATCATTTATGATCTAAGAAAGTAATAAAAATCAATATAGTGATTTTTCTGCTTTGTAGTTATTGAGTAGGTATAATTTCTTGAACATTTTTGTTTTTTTTTTTTTCAATAACTGATTTATTAAAAATTACACTTTAGCCACCACAAAGCTGTTAAGATCATAAATTACATCATAAATGTGTGAAAACCAAATGTCTTCCTACTATTTAAAGTGGCTGGAAAATTGCCTTTGTAATATGATCTTCGAACTTTTATAAATAAATGCTGTTGTTGTAACCTTAAAACTGTTTCTTTCTCATTACTACTATATTACCTACAGTTCTTGTTGAATGAATGAATAATTTTGCAAAAGTTTATGGTTTCTTGGTATCATAAGCTTAATTCCAACAATAACACAGAAGTTTAATAACATTAATATGTATGACGATAAATGGTGATTGACAACTTAACTGGATTAGTCTTCTCTAACAGATAAAGAATAGTGTTTGGCTTTTTACAACCTGTCCTCTACCCCTATTCCTATTTTAAGCCAGTCTTTATTTGGCACCTATGGTCAAAAGTCGTCTGAAAGACCATTTGAAATGATTCTTTGTTTTCTTTTTAAAATATTTTGTATGTAATTAATTCTTTCAGAATATTTAAGACAGGACTTTATGTTTTTGTAAAGTAGGTTATGGACAACAGTGTCCATTATTTAGAGTGTCTGCTATGTAGAGATAAATTATAGATGTCCTATTTGAAGGGATTGTAAAAATGTCTAAGTAGAGGTGTCCGCTATTCGGGAGTGTCCATTAATGGAGGTTTTACTGTATATAGTTATTTTTCTTTGGTAACTTGATATATCTTTATGTATTTTTTTTATCACTTCATATTTTTATGAACAATTTTTTTCTGATTATTTTATATGTTTTATTTATATTTTGATTTTTTTAATTTTAGGATTATCACTACTAACATTTTCTATATTGTTGGCTGCAAGAATGGGAATATATCAAGAAACATTAAGTACAAAGTATGGAAAGCATCCAAAAGAAACCCTTTTTTATTGTGTAAGATATTACTGTATCTCTTAATATTCTAAGTACAGTATTATTAATAATGCTGAACAACAAAGAGCACAAACAACAAAAATTTGTGCTGATTTTTTTTTTGGACATCCATTAATAAAAATATAATATAGGGTGATCCAGAGTCAGTTAACCAATGTACATTTTACGATTATTTTGATAAAATATGCTTAACAGATATATTTTAAGATTAGCTTTTTAGCTATCCTGTATATGAAAACACATTATTTTTAAAAGTGAAAAATTGTTTAATAAATTATGTTTTAAGGCTTAAGAATACTGAAGAATATTCAGTCAGTATTAAAGTTCAATTAAAAAACTGAAAAAAAACACTTTTTTCTTCAGTTTGAAAATGCCTATTATATTTTGAATATTAAATAAATAACAATTATGAGATAGTCATATAAAATTAGAAATGCATATGTTAGGAATTACCAGTATTTATTTTAACATTTTATACTTTATCTTGATTAATTACAGTTATAGAATGAGATGTGAAATACTATAGGTATATTAGTAATAAAGTAATTGTATATTTATATAAATATGTGTTTCATTTTTATAATAGTAATAATTGTGAAATAATTTACAGTAGACCCCCCTATAACGCTTAGATACGTTCCACGCTAATCGAATTTTACGTTATAGGAATGATTAAATACATGATCCAATCGCAGCCCGATAGGTGGGAACTTTACGGACTAAGGCTGTTCGAAAGGTTTTCTTCTATAAAATTAACCGATTCTAGACTAATTCGACTCAACATTTCCAAAACACGTATAATTTTTTGGGAGTAATCCGTACAAACTATGCTATAAACAAAAAATTATAGGATTACTTACAGAGTGTGTACCGTTCGACTACGCC